AGACAGCTCGACGCGTCCCATGGCGATAGTAAACACGATCATGAAATATTTTGGATTCGAACTACCTCCGAAAGTTTGTATCCGCAGTTGGTTAGTATACCGGATCGGGACCGCGGTTATCCACTCAGTGAAGGGTGTCCTTTGCGGTCTTCAAGGACCCGCTCGATATCTGGTGTCGAACTTAAAGCCTGATGGACCCTTGAATTCATTTCTCTGAGTTTGGCTTTGATGACTTTGAGCTCGGACCCCTGGACCGCATCGTGCTCTCTTGAGACCGTTGCTTGGTTGAGTTACGCACTCATCGGAGTTCTTGACGGAGTGTTGAGGTTGATTATCCGATGCTGGTTTGCGGGACGCCCATGTCTTTCAATTGTAGACGGGGATGAGTTCGCTCGCGGTTGCTGTGACTCGGTCGGCCGAGAAGAATCCAACTGTTCTTGTATGACTGTCTGGGTGTTCGTCAGTGTGTCAAGACGATCGTTCGTTTGCCTGAACATGTCATCCTGCTGATCGAATCTCCGCATGAGGGTGCTTAGCACGCTAGCGAAGTTGATTTGCTCGTCCACGATAGCCGCGGCTTCAAGGCCGCTTATCGCGGCAGGTGCTCCTTCGTCGGCCGTTGTTTGAGCGACGACCGTGCTGGCCTCGATCGGTGTGGGAGAGGCCTCATGGACCGCTTCGGCAGTCTCTTGTTGCGATGCCTCCATGTTTTGCCGACTTGTTGATGCGTCCGGACTCATATTTCTTTGCGTCAGAAAATCTCCAAGCCCCCTACCTAGCGCGCCAATTGTTTAACCAAAGGATCGAACAATGAATTTATAATAGGAAAGAGATCGTGGAATTTCGTGTATTAGAAATTGAGCCCGGAACGGATGTTACAGAATAGATTGCTATAGATATTCCGGACAGGACCCGGTCTATCTGGTCGCTATAAGTAGTAGACCGGATAAGTCCCGGGCTAATAAACAACTGCGAGTAAATAAGAGTAAGTGAATGCTTTGTGATATTTTCCGGTCGGTAGTGACTTTCCGGTGGACTCTCCGTCAGAGTTAGAGGCCTAAACAATTCTGCTCTGGGTCCCTTGTACTCTCTCTCAGAGGAATGAATAATCTCTGGTCACATCACATTATTCTCCTATTTATAGTACTAGGTTGAAGGGTACATACTAGGTTTTATTAACTATAGTTACTGAATCTGACTCAGGTTTAACCAGACCGTGGTTACTGTTCGAGTTGGGCCTTTACTGTTTGCGGACTACAGACTTTGACCTTCAAAGTCTATTGGGCCGCAGGTCCAGACCCGACAGATTCTTCCTTATACCACGAGTGAATTTCACCACTCTTGGAATAATTTGGTACTATTTGCTCAGTTGCAATCACATTATTCATGTTCCAAATCCAATTGCCGAGATCTACCGAAGGGTGTGTTACTTGTGTACCTATCCATCAATGCTCAATAGGATTTCGTCTTTGATCCATTCCCACTTTAATTTCCATTGTTGATGTAGGATTCTTCATGTCAATGTAGGATTTGAATAAATACATTGATCATGTATTCATGTTAAATTTGGTTAGATATTAAAGTTCGGAATTATTTCGAAATAGTACACGAACCAAGTTTTAAACACCAACAAACATCAACAATTGATAAATGACCAAATTAACGTATTTTGATCCTTGGTTCGAAAAAAATTGGGTTATTATTATATACCATACGAATATTCTAGACTGTTGTGAATGCCAATCATTTTCAAAGAAAAAAATTAACAAACGTCAATCGCAATGATTGGATGATTAATAGAGCGAACCGCACTAAGAACAGCCCAATCCTAATTTTAGTCGACATAACAATTTTATTTTCTTTTAAATTAAATTGGCAATGATTATTAAAAAATAGGGGTCGGTTCGTATTGTGTCGCACTAAACATGGACATGAGTATTTCCACATCCTGGTACTTCCCGCGTTAGGTAAAACATCATGTTGACCCATTCTTCAACCATTTGTTATTTATTACTTATATAATTCATTGCTTTCTTTCTATCTCCATTCGCCATTTCGACCTATATATTGTTCTTTTTGGATTAAATAACTAATCAAGTTTATAGCAATTCTAATATATACTCTAACAGTAATCGGGCTACCGTCAGTTACTTATACATAAGTTCTGATTGTATAAAGTTAAATCATCTCGTATTAACCCCAACATCTATGTGTCATACTTATGTTAAACTATATATATAATA